GCCTGTAAGCACTGATATATGAACCAAAACATGTTAAATTAACTCATAAAACTGATATGACTAATTCTAAAAGCTTCTTTGGATTTTTCAGTCAAACTGCAGCCACTTTTTGGTGGAAAACTGTTTCATATGACAATTTAAAGCAAGCATTTAGATGTATCCTGCACCTATTGAAGGGCATGTACATATAATAATCCTGTCTGTTCAGGAACAAGCCAACATTACTCCTCTTCTTCCAAATTCTTTCCAACAGGGCAAGATTTTGCAGAAGGTGGGGATCTGCAATGATTTAACTGTATTGCGAATAGTACTCGATGGAATACCCCCATGGAGAGACTCCAAACTGCTTATCAAAGATCTCAAAGTAGATGAGGTACCCCTGAGGATTTATCAGCCCAAAAGCCCACCCACTGGCAAAAGAAGAGGAATTCTGTATTTTCACGGAGGCGCTGGCACGTTTGGGAGCATTAGTAAGAAATGGGCAAGTTTTATTTTTCAAGTCGAATCCAAACCTCTACATTTTTACCTTCAGACGTGTCAGACAAGGTGTGCCCTGTCCTTCCCAATGACACCTGTCCCTGCAGTCTCAGTGCCAGCTGGAAAGTGTTTGTGGAATGAATAGTGTCACGTTAAGGGGAGTCACATCTCTGCTTCCTTTGGGCTACAGATCCAAGAGCCTCTCACTCAGCTGTCAGCAGAGGGACTCTGCTCTGCTAAGGCTACTCTTATCCTACATAAAATATAGAACATGGGTCCAAGGAAGAATTTAAAAAATACATTTAAAGAAAAAAAAAAAAGAATCTGGAAATATATTCCCATTCATGCAAACGTGGAATCCAAAGGAAGGGAAATACAAATAATGAATGAGCAGTTTGGGGAAGTTTGATTCTTGTGGTGACACACGATCCTTGACATTTTTTTCCAGAAAGGGAGACAATCCTTGTTGTCTCAGTAACTGGGAGCTCAGCTCCTGACTGCTCTGGATCCCCTTCTGAGCAACCAAGGCTGTCAGTGCTTTGTCTGGAAACAAAGGGCCTCTAATATGAAAATCTGGATTTCATTCCAGACAGGACAATTTGTAGGATTTAAATCTTTTACTGTTTCCAAGGGCAGGTCTGCACTAGCACTGTAATGGGCAGACTTCAGTTTCCTGGTTCCTTCACCACCCTGCAGGAATCTCCAGCCTAGGAGGCCTGAAGTCTGCAACCAGCAAATTAGCAGAAGCCACGAGGAACAGAATCAGTGAATAGATAATTATGGCTTATTCCTCAAAATCCATACACATGGCAGTCATGCTTCATGCACAAATCATAGAATCCCAGAATGGTTTGGGTTGGAAGGGTCCTTAAAGCTCATCCAGTGCCACCCCCTGCCATGGGTAGGGACACCTCCCACCAGCCCAGGTTGCTCCAAGCCCCGTCCAACCCAGCCTTGGACACTTCCAGGGGTGGGGCAGCCACAGTTTCAGAGTTAATGTCCCCAAATGGAAGCAGTGAATGCCAGGTTCAAAAGGAGCAAATAGAAATGGCTCTTCACACCTTTGGGAGCAAGGCAGGGAACCGCACGAAGCTGTTAATGTTAAAATCATGGGGTCAAGAAGTGGTTTGGGTAGTTCAGAGCAGAACCATTAATCAAGGGCATTAGGTGTAAAGACAGTTCCTGTCTCAAAGGAGTTCCCTGAGTCTTAAAATTCCCGTGTGCTCCTTATTATTTTATATTTGTCCTCAGCTTATGCTCTCCTCAGACACCTTTTGTTGCCCACCAGGTGAGAAGCGAGACCAGCCCAGACAGATTTCTGGGTTTCCCCACCATCCTCACCCGCTCTTGTGATGCCCCGACAGCCACAGACCAACAACCAGAGAACAGAAGTTCCTCACTGGTCTGTATTTACATTTCAAAAGGATATTTGATTTTCAAATCATCATTTCTGATAAACTTTCTCTTTAGGAGCCTTTGAAAGAATATGCCGCTATTTGGCCAAAAAATGCAACTCAGTGGTTGTGTCTGTTGGGTAAGTGTTACTTTTCCATAGAAGTATTTATGGGAATACAGCTCTCAGTCGAAATATTTCTGAAAAATATGCTAAAAATATTTACTATTTTAGATCGTGCTCCCTATTTTTCACTTAATTTAGAATTGATTTAATTTAGAAACGTGCTTATAGGCAAAATAGCTGTAACACCATTAGTTTGGCATTCCAATCTACGCTAGCTAAAAAATTATAATCTTTAAAATTAAGAAAAAAAGGCTTGCATAACTCTCACAGCAATCACAAACACCACAAATCCCATGTTTATAACTCTGTTGACAACAACCACAACATCTTTGCCACTTCAGGTACCGTTTGGCCCCAGAACACCCCTACCCAGGGCAGTATTTCGACTGTCTCAACACCACCTTGTACTTCATGAGGAATTTAGAGGAGTACCACGTGGACCCTGCTCTCATCATCATCAGCGGGGACAGCTGTGGAGCTAATTTTGCTACCGTCGTTTGCCAAATCCTGCTGAACAGCCGGGATCTGCCAAAAGTGCGCGCTCAGGTCTTGCTGTACCCGGGGCTGCAGGGGCTGGATTTTCAGCTGCCCTCGTACCAGCAGAACGCGTGGGTGCCCGTGTTGTTCCGCAAGCTGGTCCTCTACTTCTGCTTCCGTTACCTCAACAAAGAGCCCACGGTTCTGAAAGACGTCCTGAACAACTGCCACGTTTGTGAGAGCACGAGGTGCAAGTACAAAAAATGGGTGAGCGCTGACCTCATTCCTGAGGAGTTTAAGGTCAGAGGCTACGTGCCCCCGACGCCCGCCTCGTATAAACCCGAAGTCCATGAAGCTATCAAGGAGATTTTAGCACTGACGTTTTCCCCACTTTTAGCTGAAGATTCTGTTATTTGCCAGCTCCCTGAGACCTACATTGTGACCTGTGAGTTTGATGTGCTGAGGGACGATGGGCTGTTGTACAAGAAGCGACTAGAGGACAATGGTGTTCAAGTGACCTGGTATCATTCAGAGAGTGGCTTCCACGGAATTTTAGCCCTTTTTGGCTATGGGATTTTTTCCTTTTTATCTGGAAAAAAGATAGTGGATAGTCTGGTGAATTACATAAACAGTTTATAGAAGTGTTTTTCAGAAGAACGATGCGAGTCTGGCATTATCCTTGATGAATTTATACTTGGCAAAGAATGTAAAACGTTACTGATTTAGGGTTTGGATTTTGACTGCATTTTGTACTTCCTAATTTCTGCCTCTGCAGTGACTCCCAAACAAATGTTAAGGTTATTTAAAGCACCACCATTCTAGAAAGCACACCAATTAGACCGAGATGCAAAGGTGAAGCAATTGGCCTATCCTGTTCCACTAAAACTCTGACCATTCCAGTATCTTTGCATGGCTGGCACTCACTGAAGGGAAGTGACAGGAATCTTCCTGGAGAGTCTTCAACTTGCCCAGAAATGCTGAAGACAACTGAGGTCTGCTCTGGCCCTGGGGAGACAGGAGGTGTTCATGGTATCAGATGGAGAACTCAGGTTCTATGAAGTTTTATAGCAGGCAGTGGAATTGCAGCCATGAATTTCATTTCTAGGGCTAATCTGCACAAAGAGTGCTCTAGAAAAAAAAGGGCAGTCAAAAGGAAGGGTCCTGTCTGGAGCAGAAGTCTTAAACTGGAACTAGAATGAGTTTGATTTTGTCTGGAATCTGAGAAATAATATTTCATTTTGGAACTTGGTTCTTAAACTGGAAGCCCTGAACTTCAGTGAGTGTGTTAGGGAAGTGCAGAGTTGAGATTTTTCTTTCCCGTAGCCTTTGTTTTACTTTCAGATTATCTTGTGCTCAAGGCTACCTGTTATGCTGTTTGTTGGAAAAGTTCTGAAGATCGTGTAAGAAGATAGAAAAGCACAACTTTATATTACCTGTGTTATCACTGTAATGCTGTGGCGATTCTGTGATGCTTTTAACAACCAAAAATAAAAGCTAGCACTGCAAACATTTGTGTTACAAGAGTAAGAGTTACATTTGCTAAAAACACTCAACTTCCCACTGGGAAAAAAATATGAAATTAATTTTTTATAAAGTTTTGTAACTAAAATGACATGGTACTTTCCCCCCATCGCTTACAGTTTAATTTTAAAGTAACAACAACAACAAAACCATTGCTACCTACTAAACTTAGATTCTTACCTCTTTCCTTTCCTTGGGAATTTGCAGTTTCAGTACACTGAAATTTTGTTTGAAGAGCTGCAGACTTAGATTCACAATTAATTAATTAATTAATTCTCAAGCACCATTTAAAGTACACCATCTCTACATTAGCACAATCCCATTCCTCAGCAAGAACAAGATAAAGTCGTTTGATTTGAAACTCTTTAATCACTGTTACCTTCATTTTATGCTGCACCTGGAGCACAGTGAGTTACTGAAGGTTACCTGCTACAAGGTCACCCAGTCATGGATCTGAACTTCCCCTGGCTTTTTTTTAACCATAGTCTTCTGCTAAAAGAAAACACAAACACTAAAAAGAACTGATACTGGGGGAATGACACAATTTTCTAAGTGCACCTTTCCAAAAGAGCACTGGGGGGGATGCATTTGGCTCTTTGGAGTGACAATCATCACAGGCAGGTTCCCAGCTCTGAGGGGACTCTCCTTCAGGTGGGTGTTTTACAGTGTCACAAACTCAAAGCACACAAATGCCCTGTGTCCATTGTCCACCTCCAACTAATTTAATATCAGTGCAGTTCATCCTCCCATCTAGGGACTGGTTTCTTGCAAAAATTCCAAAATGATGCTGGCATGGATCTGTTAATGAATCCACCAGCTTATCTTTTGTTTGATAAGGGGAGCGAGGGAGAAAGAAAGTGGGAGAGGGAAAGATACCTGCTAATGTATTTGTAAAGGGGAGGAGAGGGGTTTTTAACCAGAGCAAACAAAGAATCAGGAAGTTCCAAGCCAGGTATACCTTGGAAAGTCAAATCAAAGACATCTCAGATCACTGCTGTTCAGCAGAATGGCAGTGGTACTCACAGTGCTGGTGTTATTCGTAGCAGGTTTTGTTGCTGGATTTATATTGTTGGTCATGGGGGCGATTAATTTTGATTTTTCCAACTCAGAAATTCCTCCTGGAGTGAACCAGCCTGCAAAGCTCCGAATCATTCATATAATTTTAATAAGCACAGCTGTGGTGGTAAGTGATGAACCTGGTGTGATTTCTGGGGGAAGAACGGTGAACCTGTAGATTTTAAACTTAAAGCCTGCCTGGAATTAATTTCCAGAGAGGAGAGCAGGGCACTGCTGTCGTGCTGCATGTTGTATTTAGCTCAGCTTTGCTACAGAAACTTTTAGCAGACTTTGGACACTGCTCTGCTCTAGTCCAGTCCTGCCCAGCTCTCCTAAATGCTGCCCAACACAAGTGTGAGAAAGTCTGACTGTGCTTCTGCCAACCCAGCAATGATTTGATTTGATTGTTTGATGAGGGGTTATGTGTTTATTCTAAATATAAAATGAGAAACTGAACATTTCAAAATTGGCTTTGGGAAGGGGGAGTTCTGGTTGCACAAGTGACAAAAAGGAGGTAACGTTGCCCAAGAGGAGCTGAAGGAATCCTGTCTGCCCTAAATACATTTATGTAACTCCTGCAGCAACTAAGCAGGATTGGCTGATGGGAAATGAGGGGCTCTGGCCAGCCCAGCTCCTCCAGGTGAACCAGCCTGGGTAGGTAATCAGTCCCCCAAAGCTGCCCTGAACATCTGGTGATCTCTGCTGATAGAGGAGCTCTCTGAATCACAGGTATTTCCATGTACTGACAGATGCACAGGTGCTTTTGTGACGGGTGCTGTTAGATATGAGATACCAGAGGCTATAGCATATATTTAATTTAATTAATTTAATTAAACACCTCCAAGAGGGACAAACTATTTAAAATTCAAACAAGAAAAAAAAAGACATTCTGTGTCAGAAATATTCTAGATTATAGTGGACCATAGGAAAGAATTCTAGACAGATATTCTCATGCTTTGGCAACACATAGATTGTAATTAGAAAGAGATTACTTCACCTAAGCAGCTGGAAAAGCCAGTTCTCTTTTGATCATCAATCCACTGCCCACTTGTACCCTAAACCAGCATTATATGCTGCAATATAAACAACTGAGGGTGAAAGAAAACAAGCAAGAAGAATGTGAGGGTGAGATCAGGCATGGAGAACATTATAAATAGCTGGAGTCACTGAAGAAAAGGCCGTTCACAGGTAAATATATGGAGTCGTGACACTGTTCTGACAATCCATGCTAATGTGGATGTGTAGTAAGAAATATTCATAATAGAATAGTGAATATGATGAACTTGATCCAAATCTTCCTCAGGAGCAAAGTACTGGCTTGGCATGGCTACAGCAAGTATTTCAAAACAGAGGCTATGCCTTTTTTTTTTATTTATGCAAAGTTATGTTGGATCATATTCGATTTGTATTCTTTTCATCTCCTCATGCCTGGCACGAATATCCCCATGGCAGAAGAAGTTAATTCCTACTAAATATCTCAGAGTCTTCTTGTCAATACAGTGCACACACCAGTGAGACTTCTGAGATGAATCAAAAAGCAATTATCAAATATATTCTTAACCTAATCAAGTCTACTTTGGGCAAGTGTCTGTACCATAAAAATCAGCACCAGAACGATCGCTTTTGCTCTGGTTTCACATCTTCTGGGGGCAAGGATAGAGTAACTCATGAAAACCAATCTCCCTTTCAGTGTTAGATAAAGGACCCACTGAGAAAGCAGAGAGATCTGTCTCACCAGTCTGTTAATGCTGCTTTGTCTGGGGTTCTGGTCTTTGGTCCATGTAACTCTCTCACAACCTCCCCTGATGCTGCTGTTGCTCGTTCAGTTGTACTTTAACTGTACAACTACTCTGTTAATTTATTACTGCCCTAAAATTCGTGACTGAGATACCCTGAGTTTACTGTCCACACAGTTCTTTTACTTTGGAAAATAGAGAATCTTTTGAGTGAACTCCCTGTTCTCTTTGCCTTTGAACAGGGAAAGATTTTGGAAAACATTGGCATCTGCAGCCAGGTGAGCTTTGTCCGGTACATGCAAGGCAGAAAGACCCTGGGAGTGGACCCAAAGCTCTTCATCAAAGATCTGTGGTTTGAGAAAGTGCCTGTAAGGATTTACCAGCCTAAGGCTCCATCTGCCAGCCAAAGGAGAGGAGTTATGTTTTTCCATGGAGGAGGATGGGTATTTGGAAGCATTGGTAAGATATCTAAAAGAAAACATACTATAGTTTAGTGAAATAAATAAATAAATAAATAAATAGTAAAGTTGGTTGTTGCTTGATCTGTAGCAGTTACAAACTTTGAGTATAACCATAGGTGCAGTCTCCTAATTCTTGCTGCCAGAAGAAAACACCTGCTGTGCTTCATGGAGCTTTCCTTACAGACAAGGACAATTATATGAGGGGAAAAAATAATGAATGAGGGGGTACCAAAGATCTGAGGAGCTGTGCAGGAAGGGGAAGAGAAAAAATAGAGAGTATTTTCTTCTTGCAATTCTTTGTTTCTGGGGAAAAACCCAACCCAAAGCCACTCAAACCTGCTTCTTTCAGAGACCCACGAGAAGCTGTGTCGCTCTATCGCCAGAGAAAGTGACTCTGTGGTTGTGTCTGTGGGGTGAGTCTCTGCTCCTGCTGGTTTTGAGAGATTATTTCCCACAGTGCAGGTATCACCTTCTGTGTCCCCCAGTCACAGCAACAACCTTCCTCCGAGATATGTCAGGAGTGTGATTTACAAATTCACTCTGCTCTTCTTTGGAGCCACTGAAGATTGACTTGGGCTGTTTTCACTGTCTGACTGCACTACAAATAATGCTCTGGGGATATCTAGGTGGAAAAATGAAGTTTTGGATCAATGTTTTCAAATTCCAAACTCAAAACTGATTGTAAACAGATAGTAAGCCATATAATCTCCTTAATCCTTATTCAAGGAACCATACCCTGATGTTTACAGAAGCATGACATGAATGACAAGCTAATACATCATCAAAATACTGGCATAATGATTCGAATTGTGAGGATATAGTTGCATAACTCTGCCTAACAAAGACATAAACCAGAAGTATTGCCACTTGCTCCTGACCCATGGAGAGCTAAAGCAGAAAATAACTAAATGATTGTCAGTAAAACCTGCATATAGTTGGCAGCTGAGTACTCCTGTGTTGTTAAGGACCTGAGAGAAATCATGGACAGATGATATCATAACAAAATAATCTGCACCACCCAGGCACAGTTTATTGATGATCAGCCCGTAGAGACAATGAACATTCTGAGGTGATCAGGGTATTGCTGGCTGCAGGAACATTTTAAACTGGTATTTCCTTCTGTTAATTTGCTGTCCCTCTCTGTGTGTCCCAGGTACCGCCTGGCCCCTGAACACAAATACCCCGCTGCGTACGACGACTGTCTGAGCGCCACCCAGCACTTCCTGCACCACCTGGAGCACTACGGCGTGGACCCTGCCCGTGTCACGGTCTGTGGGGACAGTGCTGGGGGCAACCTGGCAGCTGCTGTGAGCCAGACCCTTGCAGGAAGGTCAGACCTCCCCAAACTGCGTGCTCAGATCCTGCTCTACCCAGCCCTCCAGGCCCTGGACTTCAATTTACCCTCTTACCAACAGAATCGGGGAGTCCCTTTGTTATTCCGAGAACGTGCTGCTTTCTATGTGTTACAGTACCTAAATGGGGATGCAACAAATCTGGAAGAGGTCTTGGAAGGCTCCCACATTCCTATAGACGTTAAATTAAACTATCAAAAGTGGGTGAGTCCGGACAACATCCCTGCGAAATTTAAGCTCAGAGGCTACAAACCCCGTGTGCTACTTGACTGTACCACTGAAGTTTTTGAGAAGGTGAAGAGATTCTGTGAGCCCAACCTGTGCCCTCTGCTGGCTGAAGACTCAGTAATTCAGCAGCTGCCAGAGTCTTTCATCCTGACCTGTGAGTACGACGTGCTGCGGGACGACGGCTTGTTGTACAAGAAGAGGCTGGAGGACAACGGCGTTCGGGTGACCTGGTACCACCTCGAGGATGGGTTCCATGGAGATCATCAACTCATCACTTCATAGCCACTGGCTGTCGTTTCCAGCCGGAAAAAGGGGTCTTGACAATGTAATAAGCTTTCTGAAAAGCTTATAGCAACATTTTTCTTCGTTCCCGTAAGAATTACCAAATTCCTGTGGTCTTTTATGCTTCTGAGTTCCATATAAGAAGTTCAGATAGGACAATTTGTTAAAAAGCAATTGTGCCAGTGTGAACAATGTAAAAGGTATTTCAAGAGTACTATGAAAGTTTCTTCTAGTGCTGTTTGAAGTATTCCATGCACAGCCTGCCTGTTTCAACGATCTGTTTGGACTCGACACTTGCTACTCTCTCAGTAAATATAAAAGATACAGTAAAATTTTCATTCAACATCTGGCCTGACCTATTTTATTCAGTTGTTAACTGATGGTTCCATTATTCCTAGAAGGGTGTGTTTTGGCAAAGGGGAAGGGCACTGACACTCCAGGGCTGTAATGCAGAACCTGTGCTCTATGCTACATGTAGCACCTGAGATGCCCAGTCCCCAACCTGCAGAAGATGTCTGTGGGTGACAAAAGACACACAAAAAAAATGAAGTTACAGCTGCAGCTGTCCCTAGCAGAGATACTCTATCGACAGCTTTGTTTAAATTACAATGGAGGAAATGCTGTGTTTTCCTATGTTTATCAACCATATGAGTATGCTGAAAAACTTGTGCTTAAATAGAATCCTAGAATCAGGGAATGGTTTGGGTTGGAATGAACATTAAAGTTCATCTCCTTCCAAGCCCCTGCCATGGGCAGAGACACCTTCCACTGGACCAGGTTGCTCAAAACCCCAAACACTCTAACAACAAAATAAGGCTGATGCATCTACTTTTGCAGAGCACATTAGTTAGGTGTTGTGTCCCCATTCTCTTTTTTAAATATCCCTGTTAAAACTATATATTCCAAACCACTTAAAGCATGCCCACGATGCAGGAAGCACTGTGTTGTGCCTGCAGGTCAGCTGCACGAGACAATTCCACCTCCACATTCACTGGCTCTGCTTGTAAATACACTTCATAAACTAGAACTTCATGCAGAACTCAGCTGCTGCCTCTGAACACTCACTCTTACCATCCACACTCCGAGTATTCTCCATAGGATACCAGGCCCTTTATCAATCCCACAATTACCATAAAGATAAACAGGATATTAAACACATTGACTCCTTGCCAATGTGAGTGCTGACCCATTGCACAACATCTCCAGGGACTTTAAAGTGTGTGGCATCTGCCAGATCTCTTGGAACGGGGACAGCTTGAGGGCTTAGTGTTACCTGAGAAAGCCAAACCAAAGAAAGGCATGAAGACATGTCATATTTATATCGTGAAATGGCATTTTTGAATCTACTGCCAGCGATATTGCTGGTGATAATTGTTGTTTCATTCATATTAGCAATCAGGAGAACAATTCAAACTCACTATGCCCATCACAGCATCCCTCCTGGAGTGTGCCATCCTGGACAACTTCGATTTCTACTCGCTTTACTGATTGTTACAACTACTCTGGTGAGTAACTGCCACGATTTCTGCCAGAAATGTGGGTTAGGTGATATTTTTGTAAAGTTGTATGTGTAAACACCTGAGTCCTGCTGGCTGCATCAAGCCTTAACTGATGACTTTTATTTTTGGGGTACTTACTTGAGAGGACAATTTGTTTTGTAAAATCATTTCTATTAGACCTGAAATAGAGTTTCAGCCAGATTTTTCCCTAATACATAGGGATTAAGTCAACCATAAGTGCCCAAGCTTTATCAGCTGAGCTTCCTTAATTAAATTTAAAATTAAATATTTATACAAAGTGAGATTACTTTGATTTCCACTTTAGCTAAGCACACATGATGTTTTTAGGCCATGCTTGGGGCTTTCCAGCAACAAGGACGGCTGGGTAATGGAAGTACCAGTAGTGGAAGGCTGGGTGCTTTTCAAGGAGATGAAAACAAGAACCCAGGAAACCTTAGAGGGATGAGAGACACCCGGGCTGTACGACTGGGGTGATGCTGTCGGACATGATGAGGCAGAGATGGAAACTCCTTTTCCCTGCCCTGAGACATTTTGCCTGAGAGATGGAGTGGGACATGAGGAACTACCTGCTTTGGGGCACCTGGTCACGTATCCATCCTCTCCAGTTCCCCTCTGGTGGAGAACAACTGTGGTGGAACAGGGAGAGCCCTGTAAATGTGATGCCCTCGTGCCCCCTCAGGGCTCTCTTGCACCCGGGAGCAGCAGGTGTGGGGTTTTCCCCCCCTGCTTTGCCCAGCTCTCCTCCCTCTCCCTGTTGGGAGAGGGACAGAGATGATGTCACAGATGAGATGGTGATGAGATAGAGATGGAAACTCCCTGAGACATTTTGCCTGACGGAGGGAGTGGGAGGCAAGGGCCTACCTGCTCGGGGGCACCTGCTCACCGGGCACCTCATGGCTCCATCTCCTCCGGTGCCTTCTCGAGGGGACCCGCTCTGGCAAAGCAGGGAGAGCCCTGCCAACATACATGACACCCTGGTGCCCCTCACCAGCTGCCCCTCGTTATCTGCTCCTCATTATCTGCTCCTCACCAGCTGCCCCTCACCAGTTCCCCCTCAGGGCTCCCCGCCCATTGGGGCAGGTGTGGGGTCTCCCCCCCCCTCCCCGCTCATCCCACAGGAGCCAGGGTGGCCAGACAGAATTTCAAGGGGACTGTCTTAATTTTTCCCCCTCCCTCATCATATAACAGTGCAGACACAGCCCACAGTAAGGTCCACCACACAAAACAAAGGAATGTTTTCCTGAAGAGTGTTTCGGTGTGTTGAGAACTGACTAACAAACCAACTTGGAAAGTGGTGATTCAGTGACCTGTTTTAATTAGATGTAATCACCCTATCATGTTGTACAAGAAGAGGTTGGAGGACAATGGTGGTTGGGTGACCTGGTACCACCTCGGGGATGGATTTATTGGAATCATAAACTGATTTGATAGTGACTGATTGTCATTTTCATCTGGAAAAAGGGTGTTGGACTGTTGCATTCATAAAAGGCCTGGAAAAACAACTCTTCCTCTTTATGTTTCTCCCATTAAAGTCTCTGTTTAGGCTCCCAAACCTCAGGTAGTGGTTGTCAGCAAAAATGTGGCACTCTTTGATGTGTAAAAGACTAATTATGATATCCATGAACTGCAAATTACCACTGGTCTTTTCCTCATAAGACTCCTGACAGTTCAGTCTTTAAGGGTTGAATACCTTCCATTTGCTGTTGTTTTCTTTGAAATTGGCATCTGATTGACTCATTGTCTTTAATTCCCAAATTATTATACTTCCATTTAAATAACCCATGTGGAATTATATGGATTAAACCCTGTAAATTACAGTGGATCAGGATCTTTGTGATGTCCATTTGATAAGCTCCGAAGCATGACTTCATTTAACTAAGAAGTACAAAGCTAAGTAGATAGTGAGCTGGAGGGGAAGAGTTAGAGGCAAACTGTGGATAAACAGGCAGAGATCAAGGTCTCAGTGAGGAGATTAATATATTCCATGGCTGCAAGAGTAGCAGTGTGAGGCCATAGTTGATTGGGGACACCTTGGTGGAGGCAAGTAAGGACTACCCTGACTTTGAAATAATTGTAGCCCTACAAACCCCTATTTAATGCTGGGATGTCTCCACTACGCCCACTTAGAGCAGGGAATACTGTTGAGATGAAAAGCTGACAGTGTGTTTTAGAAAGACAGAAACGATGAGTGACCTGGGCTCCTGATCTGTGTGTACTGAAAGGTTCAGCTCAAGGAGAGACAAAACACGAACCAAAACGTTTTCATGTTCTTCCAGATGGTTTTCCCCAGTATTATTGTTTTCTAGAGTCTCTGCTGTGATTGTGTGCTTGAACTTGTGAATCTGTGCTTTCTCCACGGCTCGACAAGGCAGTGTATTCCTTGACATGATGCTTCATTACACCCTGCTGATGAAAGCACGGAAGAACAGCAGGGAGCACACTCATAACAGCATAATGAGGACGTGAAAATCACAGAATGGTTAGGGTTGGAAGGGCCTTCTGGAGATTATCCAGTCCAAGCCCCCTGCCAAGGCAGGGTCACCTGGAGCAGGTGACACAGGAACGCGGCCAGGTGGGTCTGGAATGTCTCCAGAGGGGGAGACTCCACACCCTCCCTGGGCAGCTGTTCCACTGCTCTGCCACCCTCAACGTGCAGAAGTTCTTCCTCCCGTGGAGGCGAAACTTCTTGCGTTTTGGTTTAAGGCCATCGCTCCTCGTCCTAAAGGGGGGGGGGGGGGAAATCCCACAAGACCGAGGAAATCAGAACTTTCCACGCGCTGCCTTCCCTTTATATTTCCCCGCGCCAGGAGCAGCCCTTCCTTCCTTCCTTCCTTCCTTCCCCGGGCAAGGCCGCCCCTTCCCTCAGCATCCCTCGGCCGGAGCTGCGGCTCGGGGCACGGTGTGTGTGTGGGGGTGTCCCCGCAGTGTCCCCGCAGTGTCCCCGCGGTGCCCCCCGAGCCTCGCAGGGCTGCGGGGCCGTTCCGATCGCGGGCACCGCGCGCTGGTCACGCCGGGCCCTCCCTGAACCGAGATTACCCGGCCGGCGCCTCCGGCCGTTCCGCGCGGCTCCCCCCCGGCCGCGGCCGCGCCATGACCCCTGCGGCGGCTTTGCGGAGCGCCCGCACTCGGCCCGTGACGGGGCCGCGGCTCTGCCGAGCGGGGCGGGCGGCGCAGCCGGGGGAGCCCCGCGGGGCGGCGGCCGGGCCATGGCGCTGCTGCCCGCGCTGCTGCTGCTGCTGCTCCTGCCCCTGGCGGCGCTGGCGGCGGCCGCCGTGCTGCTCGGCCTGCCCAGCTACGACATCCCGCCCGGGGTGAACCAGCCGGCCAAGCTGCGCCTGGTGCTCACCGTCCTGCTGGGCACCGCCGCCCTGGTGAGTCGCGGTTCGCAGGGAGCGGGGGCAGCGGTTTGGGGGGCACCCCCGAGGGGATGGGTAGGTGGGTGGGTGGGGAGTTGGAGGGGGTGCAACGGCTGCGCTGAACGTGGAGAGCCTGGATCGGGACCGGCGTGTCCCCCGCCCGCTCCGTGGGATGCTGCGGGCGCCGCATCGCGGGGTGGTGCTGCGGGGAGCATCTCCCCGGCCGAGTTCTGCCCCGGCCACCCCGCGTTGGGTTCTGCCCAGAGCACCCCCGGGCGGGTTCTGCCTGCCCTGGGCAACCCCCCGGCGGGTTCTGCCCCACGCACCTCCCAGCGGGTTCTCCCCGCGCATCCCCACTCGAGGATGCTGCCCCGGCCACCCCGGTGGGGTTCTGCCCCGAGCATCCCCACTCGAGGATGCTGCCCCAGCCACCCCGGTGGGGTTCTGCCCCGGGCATCCCCACTCGAGGATGCTGCCCCGGCCACCCCGGTGGGGTTCTGCCCCGAGCATCCCCACTCCAGGATGCTGCCCCAGCCACCCCGGTGGGGTTCTGCCCCGAGCATCCCCACTCGAGGATGCTGCCCCGGGCATCCCCGGTCGCGACGCTGCTCATGTCGCGGGCAGACGCCGTTCGGGAGCGCGCCGGGCGGTGGTAGCGGTGGTTGCCATTGCAAGCCCCGATTTGAGGGCTGGGTAGGGGTTTGCCTTGGAACTGCCCGCACCTTTAGGCGAGATCACCTTGCCCAAGGAAAGCCGCAGCCCTTCAGCTGCTCCTGCCACGGCTCTGACATTTATGGCACACAATCCGGTTAGGGCTGCTTTACTTAATCCCTGGACTCCCTTTGGCAGCATTGCATAAACGGCCTTAGAGCCCTCCTCAGCTCTGGCGCTGGCACTCACTCTGTCTTTGAATTTCTTAAAATCTTCAGTTTCCTCCATCACTCCTTTTGCCACAGCCTCACCTCTGCTATCACACAGACTTTGTTTTCCTCCACACAGGTTCTTAAACCATTTACATCCTCTTCAAATGTACTGACAAAGCTGCCCAGCTCTCCTGAACCTCCACTGTTTTTAATGCCCAATGAGTCTCTCTTGATCCACAAGCAGGTGACAAGGGAGTGGATAAAGAGAGACTCATTGGGCATTAAAAATAGGGATCTTGTTTAGCCAGTGAACAGTGTAACAGTTTATGTGTTTGATCGCCAGCTTCTTGTTTGTTCACTTATTACATCAGATTTATATTCTAGCTTGCAAGAGCATTGCAAGAGCATTGGGAAAGCAAGCCAGTTTCATTTCATTCAGTAGATCTGTTGTGCAAATAAAAAGCAATAACTGACTTGCACAACACAGCTCAGCACTTTGGATTTGCAAATTCACTGAGTTTTGTGGTCTAATTCTTGAATATCAGCTTCTGCAGTGACAAACTGGTTCTACATATGACAGTTCATCGCTGTTGCCAAGTATAAATGAAACAAGAACGAGCACAAAGGTGTGCAGGACAATACTGACAGTTAAAATACATACTGCAAGGCAACCAGTTTGGTTGACCTTTACAGAATTTCTGATGTGACATTACAGTGACATTGGAGTTGAGTTGTACAAGTAAATTTTTTTACAGACTGTAGGATGCGAGAACTTGGAAAAATTTGGGGTTTTTTCCGAATCAGAGCTCTGTATAATTTCCCTCAAATACCGTTTGATGTATGATGCAGAGTTTTTATACCTTGCCTAGCTCAAGACTTTTAAAAATGCCTTAATCTTTTTCACCTTTAACAGGGAAGGATTTTGGAGAAGACTGGGCTTTGCAGCCAAATCACCTTTGGCCGATATGTGCGACAGGGACGGAAACTGGGGCTGGATCCAAAGCTCTTCATCCAGGATCTGCAGTTTAATGAAGTTCCTGTGAGGGTTTATCAGCCTAAATCTACCTCTGATGGGCGAAGGAGAGGCATCCTCTTTTTTCATGGAGGAGGCTGGGTATTTGGAAGCCTTGGTAAGATCCTTGCTGGAGGAATTGCAGCAAAGTCTTTTCACAAAGCTGAAATAAGCATGTGATTTTGGGAGGAAGTCGGAAGCCTTTCTGGAATGAGCATTCCCGAGGCTGTCTCAAAGATGAGGGCAGTAGCAAAGCACTAATGGCAGTATTTCTTTTCCAGATACCTATGAAAAGGTGTGTCGCTACCTCTCCAGGGAGAGTGACTCGGTGGTTGTGTCTGTGCAGTAAGTGAACCCTACCCAGTTCTGTTGTTGGGGGATTATTGTTGCTGTGGTGCCACAGCAGAGCTGCACTGGTTTTGGAGGTGCTCTTTTTTTGTCAGTGAAATTTCTGTAGAAGTCAGTGAAGTCCGTAAAGAGAGATAATGGAGATTTCACAGCCCTTTCACTGCTCGTGCCCAGGGATGCTCAGGAAAGATACACATGGGAATATTTGGCACACTAAGGAAATATATAAAAGCCAATCAAAAACTTGGATGAAAGAAGTCTTCCTTGTGCTGAACATGTGAACGTGAAATAAGATCCTCCAGGCAATTGGGATCTATAGGAAAGGAGAGAATAATCACATGTGTTCCTCCCACTTTAAGACAGGAGGCAGAGGCACAAAATGATTAAATTATCTTGTCGAGAGTACAGGGGAAGTTTTGAGTGTGAGTAAGACCTTGCACAATTCCCTTAATCAGAGGCAATCCTACTTCAGTGAGTCCTTGAGACTGAACACACAATTTACAGCTTATGTGCAGTCACAAACTGAGGAGTGCCTGCTTAGGAGGTGATGTGGAACAAGAGCACCCCAAAATGATAGGGCTGAAGGACAGCGATATGACACCATTTCCTGATTGCTACTAACAACATTCCCATCTCTTACACTTGTCCCTCTGTGTGTCCCAGGTACCGCCTGGCCCCTGAACACAAATACCCCGCTGCGTACGACGACTGTCTGAACGCCACCCAGCACTTCCTGCACCACCTGGAGCACTACGGCGTGGACCCTGCCCGTGTCACGGTCTGTGGGGACAGTGCTGGGGGCAACCTGGCAGCTGCTGTGAGCCAGACCCTTGTAGGCAGGTCAGACTTCCCCAAACTGCGTGCTCAGATCCTGCTCTACCCAGGCCTTCAGGCCCTGGACTTCAATTTACCCTCTTACCATCAAAACCGAGGAGTCCCCTTGTTATTCCGAGAACGTGCTGCTTTCTTTGCTTTGCTGTACCTCAATGGGGACGCACTGCACATGCAAGAGGTCTTGGAGGGCTCTCACATTCCTCCAGACATGAGGCTGAAGTACACCAAGTGGGTGAGTCCGGACAACATCCCCGAGAAATTCAAGGTCAGAGGTGTGAGACCACTGAGGCCCACCGATTTCATAGCTGAAGTTTACGAGACGGTGAAGAGATTCTGTGAGCCCAACCTGTGCCCTCTGCTGGCTGAAGACTCTGTTGTTCAGCAGCTGCCAGAGTCTTTCATCCTGACCTGCGAGTACGACGTGCTGCGGGACGACGGCTTGTTGTACAAGAAGAGGCTGGAGGACAACGGCGTTCGGGTGACCTGGTACCACCTCGAGGATGGGTTCCATGGGATCATAAGCCTCTATGATTACTGTGGTTTCTCATTTCCATCCGGGAAGAGGGGACTGGACAGCGTTGTTAACTTCCTGAAAAGCTTATAGTTAACATCTTAGATTCCACGAGTCTGTTCACGCCTCGACCTAGGAAAATATCTTTTTAGGGTATTTAATATCAGGTGATGGGTAGTCAGTCAAGGGCAGCCATTAAGAATGATAAACAAAGCTCATCAGAACCTCATTCCAGCTGTTAGTTGGAACATGGAATATGCAAACCTTATACAAGCCTGTACCATGCTGCAAGCCCTTATCTTTAGCTCTGTCAGTAAAGGAGAATGGCACTTTGAATGGACATCCTGGGCTGTACCAGCTGTTTAAAATAAAATGTGCGTGTATGAAGAGAAACTGTGTGTTAGCAGGTGTGTGTGGTGTGTTGGTGCAGAGGAGTTCTGAGCTCTGTTAGACCAGAACAACCCACCTCAGCTGACTTTAGTGGGTTAGAAGGCACTTTTTTGGTCAACAATAAATACAATGCAGCCTAAAACGTGGTCACTGTCACTGTGGGGATAACAAACAAATGGTTCCATGGCAGCTCCACACATCACCCACTTTTCTCAGCCCACAGGCAGATCTGGAGCCCCTTTCTGTCCCAGTTTTAGCACTGGGTAATGTTTCACCACATAACGTGAAGGGTGGTTCCAACAGCCAGGGATGGTAGTGCTGGTGAGGCAAAGAAATATGTTTGCATCACAAAAAGATGGATGGGATTGGTGGAAGGTTGAACCCAAATACTCTACTACAGTTCTCATTGGAAACTGGCTGGAGAAGAGGACAGGATTGGGAAAGAAAAAGGGGAAGATCAGGAAGGTGGGAGCAGGAACAGAGGGGTCAGAACTTCTTGTAGCTTGTATCAGAGGGTCTTTAATAACTTGGATATTGGTTTCATTTGCTTCTAGAAACAAGAGTATCTTTTTTGGCAGAGCTGTTCCATAGTTTTCATGCCCTGCCTAAGAGCTCAGCAAAATTCTGTCATTAGACATTTAACTTTGTCAAAACATGCCAGTTAGGTTCAATATTGGAGCTGTTCAGGCAAATCCTCCTGACTCTGCTAAAATTACTTCCCTTAGGTTTGTGGTTTTTTTCCTGGAGCAGGATGCCAGACTGTACTGCAGAGCCTGGCTGCTGCAGCAGAAATAGGACCAAAGGGGCAAAACCAAGTTAATTCATTCTTTTCAGATGCTGGTGTGGCAGGTAAAAGTATTTAACACCAAGCCACGGCTAATTTTTCAAGGACTGTACAGAATTTAAACTTATATATTTATTTGTAGTTAACAATTATAAATAATTTTAATTATAATTATATAAATAATTATAATTAGCAATATTTTACATGTCTTGTACTAAGGAACCAATCCGGAATTTTACACTAGCTGGTTATACCAGCTGACTTTAACAACTTAGACAAAGTACATAACCTCAGACTTCTTCCCAAAAAAGTGCTTTTTAGATGCACAGAGGAAGAAAGCACTGGGACAGAGCTGCTGTGATGACTGGGCTGCCTTGGCTATACTGAATTTTGTGTATTTCTCATGGCTGTAAAAAACACTGTGAAACTCAGCAGCAGCTGATACAGGAGAGTCTTTATCCACTCCCAACCCAGACACTGAGGAGAGCCACGATGGAGGAATTTGAGGTAAGGACAAGAAAATTCCAGTGTGGGGCTGTGTGTGCCAACATTCCAGGCAGGGATGATCTGTGACTAATACTTAAATCCTATTTTATATATCCTTAAACAACTGTGTGTGTAATGGAAGGCACTGCAGCTCCCTGGCCATTCCCAGGCTGCAGAGCTCCCCTGTGGGTTGGATTCCAGAGGGAATGCCTTCCAAGGCACACAAACAGCACCCACTGCTTGGTACCCTGTGGATGTTCCCCACTCTCTGCCTTGGAGGGTGACCAGTGTGTTACTACCAGCTGGGACTGGGTATTGTGTCTTCAGGGCCCTCCTTGAGCTCTAACAGGAGCTTGGTGGTAAAATAGGATTATTTGAATCAGCACACCTCCAATTTATACAGAAAACCTGCACTCCAGTGAGGCCCAGATCCTTCACAGTGTTTTTCCAACAAGTGTCATCTACTGGAACATCCCTTTCCACCAAGGTGCCTCAGCAACCCCAAATATTATCACTCTCTCCAGACAGACAGCTGGAAGGTAGGATATGCAATGCTGCTGCACCACAAAACACTTAAGCAGCACAAGACAATCAGCTTTTCGTTTTCAGCCTTCTTAAATGTGTCTGCAAATCCATGATGCGTGTGTGGAAATCAGACTAATCAGATCTCATGGCATGCAGATGCAGTTGCCTAAGTTAACTGGAAATTTACTTTGCTTGAAATGCAAATGCCCTTATTTTCAGGGATTAAATGATAAGTAAAAGTAATACAAGGGCTGACAATTGTGTGATATCACTGGCAGCACAGTCAGACTCAAAAGCATCCTGAGCCACCTGAATGCTGTGCACAAGCAGCTTGATTTCATCATGTGCATCTCATTTCACAGCCTGGCACTGCAGCATTTCTTCACCCATCACAAGGAACAAAGAAGCCAAAATTTAGTATTGGAGTATGACAATAACTGCAATAAACACAGTTACAACCTGTGCTGCCTCCCCTTCAGAGCTGGAGCGGATGCAAGTTGGCCTGGATTCCTCAGAAATCAGATTTCCCCATTCTCAGTAGTTTTTGGAGTTATTAATTCAGTCAGATGGAACATGGTGCAGTGGTCAATATATGGATTTAGAGCCAGGAACCTCCTTCTGCTTTAATTCCGAAAATGGATCTTGTGGTGACTTTTGGCTACTTTCTTACCCAGTCAGGAGCTTATTTTTTGCATTGATAAAGTGGAAATGTTGTCCATACAATACTTAATCACCACAGGAAGCAGTGAAGGAGAGTGTCAATGGGCAGATTTCTCTCCCCTTTTCAATACCAGCTGAAGGCAAGGAGAGCTGTGGGATACAAGGAGCAGCAGAATTCATGGAGTATTGTGATGTTTCTGAATTGAAGTGAAATGTAAAGCTGTGCTAATTTTAATATCTACCAGAGAGGCTATGCTGAGTCAGGACTCCTGATTGATGTCATTACTGCAGTTCCTGTTGGTATCTAGCAGTGATTTTCCAGCCAGAGGAAGACACACATGCCCTGGCAACAAAAAGATCTGTTTTGCCCTTACTCTGCTGTCAAAACAGTACAAACACCCCCTATGACAACTGTAGAGTGGAAACACCAGGACCAAAAATTGAATTCCATAACTTCTAACATCTCATCGTGTCTCAGAACCACCCACCAGCTCTGGGCTTCTCGAGCACCTGATGAGAAACTGCACAAGAAAGAAGCTGAGTCCAGATCAGGGTCTGGACCAATTCCTGTGAAAGCCCAACAATTTCTGCTTTTGCCTCTTGTCAGCTGAGACAACCAGCTAAGAACTCCTGCTCTCCCTTCCAGCCAGGGACATCTTCCCCAAAATCTTACAGAATCCTGGCCTGTAAAGGGGGTCAGAATATCTGTGAGGCTTTGGCCAACTGCTGAGAGACAGAACAACCAGGGACAACGCTGTGTAAACTGCTTAGGGTGATCTTAAGCACTGCTTAATATAGACTGTTGTGTGAGCTGTGCCATGCAGAAGGGATGAGAATTAGGTTATATAGGCACAGAGCTTTTTACTAGTTAGAACAAGTTGCTGGATTACATCCTGACCTGCAGGTGGCCAGGAATATTTCAGAAGATATTAAACCACAGGAAACAGATTTTTTTTTAATCTTTTGGTTTGTAGTCAATGAATAGTTGCAGTAAGAAATAAACCCCAACAACTGTGATTGAACCTGAAAGGACATAAACCTCTTAATTGCTTTGCCCTTTGTTTTGTCATTTTTACACAGCTTGCTGTGCTTTTTTTTTTAAAAAAAAAAAAGAGCAGAAAAGAACCTTGTGTTATTCCATAATATGCCTGAAACATCCAAGAATAAAGCAAACATACGAAATAGCTGCATATCCAAGGCCAAGGTGAAGCAAGGTTCCTCCCAGTGCAGGAAGCAGGCAGACCTTGATTGCCCTTGGCTTTACATACAGAACAGCACTTAAGGGTAGATAAGCTGCAAAGTAAACTCCATTAGCTGACCTTGAATTGCCAAACTGTAAACATGGAGGGAATAGCTCTGGGTGGCCTGTAAATGCCACCCTGAGACCTCACTCGGTTTAGGAAGTACCCAAACGACCTCTGGAAAAAGCGCTGCCAGAGGCCCAAATTCTTATTGCCCTAAAGTGCAATTTCTGCCTTGAAATCACGTTTGGTCCAGAGCAGAGATCTGCAAAGCTCTTGGTCTGGGGCTCAACAATAAACCTGCAGCGAGTTAATTGCTTAGATTCACTATATCTGGAATTACTTCAGTGCAATTCATCATATTTTTTTTTGCTCAAGATTAGCAATATTAGAGTTATTTTTAGGAAGAAGATAAAGGATATACCTTAGTCTTGGCACGGACAAGCCCCTGGCCGTGGTCTGGATGGAGTTTTACCTCTGCAACATTTTAGTCACCGTGATTTAGGTTTGCTTTCCCAAGGTTGGGTTTGCAGCTGAAGGGCACTGGCGACTCAGACGTGTGTGCAGAGCAACAGTGGCACCTACTGACAAAGGATTCATCCGTGAGACACCTAAAAACGTCTGCGGGACAGGGATGAGCCCCTCAGCTGGGGGCATGAGCCAGAGAGCAGCGTTGTTAATGAAACCTTTCAGAGATGCAAGAGCCCCGATGATTAGATAAGCGTTATATTTTATTTTATTTTATTTTATTTTTTTTTTTGGCTTCAAAGCCCCGGGGAGATCAAAGGCAATTAGAAAAAATTGAAAGCAAAATAGGTGAAAGTCACTGAATCACAGCCAGCTATTAGTGCTGTGCTATTAAAGGCGTTCTCCTGGAAAAAAACACCTCTAAAATAATCCATAAAGGATGGATTACAACGGAATGAAAACTGGTGGATATAGAAATTCTTGTACCCACAAGGAAGTCCTCCATATTAATTTTATTGCCAATCTATTAAAAGTGTATTTCTCTGTTTGTTCCCATCTGCTAATATTTTTAATTACAATACCAATCAGGCACCTTTATAGCACAGCAGAGCCCAGATAATGTCTAGAATACAGCTTAGAAAATAATACAAAGGTATCCCTAATTTCATACAACTCTGATCAGTTTGCTTAAAAATCTGCTCATCAATCATTCATAATTGTTAAATATTTATAACCAATGAAATATTTATGGTTATCATCTACTATGCTTCTAAAAGCAAAGCTCATATATGGAAAAAAATAACTGGCTTGATGTACAGGGAATTACTGAGAGGCACAAGAACCACCTATGAAATTTGTATGAAAACATTAATTCTAAATCCGAAAGCTGCCTGGGCAGGGCTCCCCAAGCACGGGTCTGATCTGTTTTTATTGAGCCATTTACAATTAAATATACAACCACAACACCCAAAGGAGCCCAAGGTAACGAGATGAAATGAATTCTGGTAGGGGAGCTCCTTAGACAGGAAAATGCACAGCTCCCCCCGAGCTGTCAGGTGGGATTAGTGACACCTGGGAGCAAAATATCCCCTTGGAGCTGTTTAACTGATGAGCTGTTCTCACCTGGGCCATGTAAACCTGCCTCACACGTCCCCAGCTTTGTGGTGACTCCAGCTGAGCTCAGGGCAGGACCAGCCCAGGCTTCTCCAGCTCTCGGCCTGAGCTCAGTGGTGGTGGAACCCAAACACCAACCAGCCAGTGACAAATCCCGAACGTATCTTGATCTCAAATATTCCCCAAGACAACACTGCAGACAGAATAGCACTGGTAATCAAGGTTTCCCCCTTTTTTTTTTCCCCCCTGCAAAACTCAGGTGACCTAAATTATTCCAGACAACCCCCCCCAAAACCCCATGAAGTTGAAGCAGTGCTGCAAGCACGTGGCTGCACCAAGAATATCTCATTTAGATTTCCTTCCTGACCACCCTGAGTGGCTCACACTCCAGGTTCTGATCCTGCACACCTGGTTTGCTGCCCACAGGGAGCACAGACAGAGTTGTCCCCAAGTCATTTGGCAGAAGTAGGAATGGCAGATAAAACTGGAGGATTCCTGCAGCCCCAGTTTAGAGACACTAATTCATGCTGAGGCAAATGGTGCTGTTTAATCAGTTACAGTATAATAATAATAACAACAACAATAATAATAAATAATAGTTTGTTTTTATTTGTTATTAAAATAAATCTAATAAAGTATAATAATAACAATGATGATAATGATACTAATAATAATAAAAATAAAAATTAAAAAACCATCCCCTTGCTGTTTCTACCATAACACTGCCCAGCTCACTCCAATCTTCAGAAATTACAAGGGCTTTTACTGATGATAAAACCCACTGAAACAGAGGTTATTTTGTCTGTGCTTCAAGAATATGTAAAACCTGAAGGAATTAAGATGCTCACAGCTGTCTTGGAAAGAATTAAGATGCTCACAGCTCTTGGAAAAGAGGTGAGAAAATCCAAAATGCCATAGTTGCAAATCTGCAATAAGTCAGAAATCCATTGACTAGTAAGTAGAAAATGCAGCCAAGTCATGGAAATGTGCAACAGAAAAGCTGGGTTACACTGTAAAATGTCCACTTTTCAGGAAGAGGGGATATTAATGGTGAAAATAACATAACCTTATAAGGAAAAGAGATCAACTTGACATATAGACCTGGAGATAAAACCTCTTGAACTTGGAGGCCTTTGGAATATGGATCAAGTTTGGCATTTAAGTGTGTTTGTATCAGACAAGTAAATAGGTAGTGTTTGTTCTGCTGCCCTCTGATGTTGTAAGGACTAATCCCAAGCACTTTGAGGCTCCTGGGAATCATTAAAATATGCAAAGGATGACATTTTTCCGGATGTGCCAGATTTTCCCAAGCTTTTTTTTTTTTTTTAGAATTTTTTTTTTTTAATCTCGGGGCCTTGTGGTCACTTGTGACTGAAAAGCAAGAGGCTCTTCAATTTGTCACGGAGCAAATAGATGTTCTGATACAACTCCCCGTGATGAAAACATTCCAGACAGCCTCGATGCCGTGAAACCAGCCTTGTGTTTGAAGTTTTTGTGACGCTGAGGAGAAGCTGAACAGTGGTTAGAACTGATGCACACGCCTCGAGGGCAGCGTATTTCTTACCCTGGAGGGGGGACTCGTGTCAGCCTGGATGAGCTGTGGGAATGAGATGACAGATTCCTCGGACTGAGAGGCTCAGCCAGGGCTGGGACTGCGACAGGGACACTGATTCTGGCTGGCAAGTGCTGCAAGAATTGGGGGCTGAGGGGGCCAGTTGTGGAGTGAGGGTGGTCACAGAGATCAAATGGCAGCGTGTCGGGGAGGAGGGAAAGGGGCTGTTGGCAAGAAGTTGTTCCCACGGTCAGGAGGCCTCTTTTGGAGTTCAAAATATTCCTTGGAAGGTGCTTATAGAGAGCTGCCCAGGCCAGTTAAGTGATAAAACAACCTCATTGGTCTGAGTTTGAGCACTGCCTAATGGGGCCACAATGGCTGCCAAGTCCTGTCCTCCAAATCTGCACATCCCACTGCTCTGATTCCTTGGAACAGCATCTTTAAGCCTGTTTAACTCCTGGGACTGGGATTCTGACCCATCCTTCTTCCATAAGAATGTGAAAAAGCTTTCTCTGCTGGCAGTGCACACATTCCTCACAAAGCTTGGTGTGTATTTAACATTTATTTTTCACATTAGTGATGAAACATCAAATTGCCATTAGTAAAGAGGCTTTTCCTTCTTTAAATCTTTGTACTCTTTGTTGCTCTGAGCTGGTCAGCTCTTAAAAGGCATCACCTTAAAGCCATGCCATTGATGCTCCTTTTTTTCTCTGTAAATCCAAGCAGATCTCACTTGCAACACACCTGTGATGATCATCTCAGTGTCATATGGGGTTGTCACACTTCAGGAAAAAAATCAATTTACTGGCTTCTCAAAGGAATTCATATTTGGTCCCTCTATTCTCGACAGGGGGGGTGTTTCCTCACAGGAATATCATTACCCATCAGCAGGAATTGCAGCTCCCATCAGGATTTTCATCAAACAAAGCAAATTGCTGCAACAGGAGCTGTGTCACCCAGCTCTGGACAGGGGCACCGAGAGCCACCTCCACTGATTCCACTCAGACCAAGTTAACCAGTAAGCAGGGTAAGGCTCTGCTTAATCACAGACTACACAAACCTCACAAAATGTGGCACATCCTTTGCAGAAACACCTTACTAATTTATACTTCACATTTCAAAGGGGCCACTTATCTCCGAGAGCAGCTGTAAGCAACAAAAATGCAGCAGCACATCCTGAACCTGCTTTGTGCTGTGAGCTGACTCTGATCAAGTCATTCCCTCGGTTCTTTCCCTTTTCCTTGTTTTCTTATGATTTAAAAGCTACACAAGCTCCAAAGGCTACTTGTGGGAATTGCTTCACAAATGCATAAGTTTGGGATATTGTAGAAGTGCTGGAGAATGGAATTCTGTTTTTCTGTATGTAACTGTGGGGTTAACTCCTAAGC